AGCAGAACAGAACAAAACGAATCATTTAGTTAGTTAGGAATTTTATTACACTCGTGATGTTTGCTTAATATATCGGTGTGTGCCACAGCTTTCGGAGCAAACTACAACACAAAAAAATAAGGTGTGTTTTATTTAATTTAATTGCAGTTGAGAAATGGCAGACAAGAATGGACATGATGTCTGTATGACACATTTTTAAAAAACGACATTAATTTAATTTTTATTTATATTGTGGGAATTGTTTCTACTTTCCATAAATTTATTACAGCTGAAAAAAGAAACTATAAAAATCTATGGCTTGCTTTTTAACAAGGTTCTTGTGAATATATGACTAGGCCCTCTGGGAGGAATTTATAACTTCAGTGTATTAAAAAGTGGTCATGGCGTATACAATATGACATCAAGTATACGCAATATGTGCCTAAGTAATGTTAGTGGGAAACACAATTCAGACGAGTTTCTACACCTACACCTTCGAATAATTGTTTCCTTATCTCAACGAGATCACAGATCGATCGTCGATCAATTATGAATTGTAACCAAATTCAATTATGTAGTTGTGGAAAAATTATCACAAAATTTTGGACGGAGATCCCGTTCATTCCAGTGAAAAGGAAAATGTATGTGTAGAAATACGACTCAATTGTTTTCCCCACTAGCATTCCTTTGGTACACATTGCGTATACTTGAAGTCATATTGTATACGCCATGAACCATGACCCCTTCTTATTACAGTAAATTCCTAAAAATTATTTATTTTATTGTTGTATTCTGTTCTATACTTCCCTAGTTTTATGCTGAAACTTAATTTTATTTAAAAAATAAATGAATAAAAATATTTAAGTTTTAAAATTAAAGATTTTGTTTGACCCGAATTGTTTATTAGTTAGGTGGTGACAAGGACAAAGTTCAATGTTACCAGTTGTATAATTAAAAGTAACGAATCCTGATTTGTGTTTGGTTGATGTCTTTAATTTACAACACGGTTAAGTGATTTTCGCAATAATATATACGATATTATGTTCACGTGGCACACTTCAAACAATTTTTTATAAAAAAAACGTAAAAATCACCTTTTATTTCATATTTCAAGCGATATATTAACGAAAACATTTGAATTAAAATGTGCCACAGCAAAACACAAAAACGAAAGTTTCAATAATAATTCAATGGACGTGGGCAAAATATTAACACAATTGTTATGCTTCCGGTTAACTTGGCACGCATACAAAAATATGCAAACGTGAAAAAATGTAAATGAGACCGCTATAGATATGTGTGGTGTAATATTACAAATGTTCGTAATTTCATATAATATCAATGGGTAGATTGAATTGATAAAAATTATATAAAAGAACAAAAAAAACAGGGTAATATGGATCCATTTAAGGTAAGGGACATTGCATGTAAATGAGATATGTACATCTATGTATGTGAATCTGAAATTGAGATTATGCCTATACAAAGTCCATGGAGTTTTTGGAATATGGAATTTCTCGTATATTTGAATAAATAAATTTATTCGCATATTTTCACAATTTTGTTGCCACGTTAACCTCTAATAAATTTGGTGTTTTATTGCATTCATTGGCATAGGTTTTTACTATAAATATTATTGACTATTTGCATTGATGTCGTCGCATTTTGAAAAAAACACTAAATTTTTTTGAGTTTTTCACCCATAACACTAACAATGAACTGCCACGGTGGCATTGACGTGCCAAAATATGCAAATAAACAAAGAAAAACCCGAAAATATTTGCATTTGCTTGTTGTGTTGATACTGATGAATGAGTGACAAAGCGCTTTCGTGTGTACAACTGTGTGCAGGCATGAGTTCATTAATGCGTGCCCTAATCACATTCACATTGCGTGTCAACTGTCGTCGAACACACACACTCAACCGTTAAAATGTTAGCCGAATATAAAAACAAAAAGTGTCGACCCAAAATTAATCACCAAAAGTGAAAACATTTCATATATCAGAAATGTTTTAACAGGAACGTATAATGAAGACAAATTTATATGAAATGGGTCACATTGTGAGCCATGATGCTGATTTCACTTCGAAAAAATGTTTATTCTGTGCTAAACTTGGGACTATTTAATCGATTTTCGACTAATCGATTAATCGCCTTTTTATGTATAAAAATCGAAGTCAAATTTTGATGTTTTAGAAAATCGCAATTTCGACTTTTAAAGATCGACATACGATTTTCATCATAGCGCTTGGTTTATTATATTTTGACGACAATTCATACAAGAAATCAAATTTTTGTCGATTTTGAACAGGTTTGACAAAATCGAAAAGTCGACTTTTAGGTCAAAGTCAAAAATCGACCTTTTGGTCAGAGGCAAAAATCAACAATATGTCTTTTGCGCTCGACTACGTATTGCTATGCGCTATTATGTAAAATGTATTGTAATAGAAATTGGAAATTCCTTCTCATTTATAGCGCCAATCCCTATATATTTTGTCAAAATGCATATAGTCGCGTCTATAGGGTTTCTATGTCTTTGCCCAATTTCAAATTTCGAGAATTTTCAAACGGCTGTCAATTGGCCCAACATTGTGTTGAAGTCTTGTGGGAATTATCGGTCCACTCCTTCTGACACCTCCCTTACAAAATAGTCAAAATTGTGCTAAAAATTAATTTTATAAGAACATACAAACGCACTATCCGGTTTTAACGAATCTAGATTAAGTAGGAAGATGGGACCTATTGGTCCACTCCTTCTTATACCTCCCCCACAGTTAAGTTAATAGAATGCCCGATTTGAACCAAACTTTGTACAACATATTATCATTACTTAGCCTAGATCAAGTTTGAAGAAGGGAACCCATCGGTCCACTCCTTCTGGTACCTCCCTACAAATGGTCAACATTTTCAATATTTATGAATCCAATATCAGGCGGATAGAACCAAATTTTGCACAACCTACTATCATAACCAAGAATGGATCAAGTTTGAAAATGGGACCCATTGGTCCACTGCTTCAGGTACCTCGCACACAAATGGTCGACATTTTCAATATTTATAAATCCAATATTAGGAGAATGGAATGACCGATTTGAAAATTTTCACAACTTATTATCTTTACCAAGCATAGATCAGGTCAGTCTCCTCTGGTATATGCTACAAAAAGGGTCAATATTATATATTTGATCAACATAAAATACGAAATATATTTAATTAACGAATAAACAATGTATAACTCCGAATACCTCCTCCGCAAATAACATGTTTAACTTTTAAAGCTATTTGGTTTACAGCAAGGTCCTTTGAAAATCAGTTTTAAAGTAAACTCGTTCTAATAAATTTTTCGTTCTATTCATATGATTCATTGTTCTATGATTACTATCCAGGATACACTGTATCCAGGATACACTGTAAAAATACTAAATACTGAACTTATGAGCTTTTAACAGGTGAATTCCAACACATCTGCATATTTTTGAAGTACTAACTGTGTTAATGACAACACCAGCGTTATTATTATTACACATACCCACATAAAAATACACCATAAAGCTTATTTTTTAACACCCGTACTCCTCCTCCTCCTCCTTTGCTTTGTTTTTTGTTATAATTTTTTATACTCAAACATTTTATGGGGCTTTAGCATGCTAAATAGACGTAATGAGACTAACACGAATTTTAGTTTAGAAACATATTCCGTTATTTATTTCAACATCAAAGTATATACCTTGAAGTATTAAAAGCGTTGATGGCTGGAAATATGCATTAGATTTTTGTAGTTTTATGAATAGTTTATGAAATCTTTAAGGGTATTTTTTATTTGTTTAATCATAACAATTTTGTGGCCACTTATTAAAGAGATATACATAAGGGGGGAAATATTCATAGATCCATATAAAGTTATGAAACATCATTTTGGAAATCGAATTGTTTTCAGCTCATAAAATATTTGGGAGAACAAAATAAAGCTAGCAAATTAAGAACCATAATATCTTTATATATTATTTACAGTTTTATATTCCCAGCTTTTGCAAAAAGTTTGTATGACCTTCAGAGTTTATAAATTGATATGTTATATTTTCCATAAAACTCTGTGAATGACTTTTTTGGAATTTAAAAACAGGATTTGATTTCACATGACAACATATTCAAGGAAACTGTATTAGAATGCTGCATTAAAAAAATACAATATAAATTTACAATTCGCACGCTAATTATAATAAATACACTATTTACGCTTCAAGTTTGTCTCACAACCTACTAATAAGGGAGAAAACATTGCGTGACAACATTTGGCACTTATGAATCAAATTTGAACACACCAGCTTCAAATTGAAAATTGCATCAAATAAAAGGGGTGAAATAATACAAACGGGCGGGCCACTCTTACCCATCTATGCAACTGTATTTTCAGAGTAAATTTATGAAAACTGAGAATATTTATGAAGGTCAAAATACTGAACTACAACATTTGACCTTAACATCCGTGAATGTGTTTAAGGCACGTTCCGAATGTGTCATGACTTAATTGATTGCAAGACTATGCACTACAATGTTTTTGGGGGTAATAAATTAAATCAAAACATGAAAAAAACGAAAACAATAATAAAAACAAGTAGAGGACAATAATTAAGTAGATTTTTTTTGGGATAATATTTTGCATTAAAAATTTCGATAGCGAGAATGGGGTTCGTGACATGTGACAGCATTATAAATTGAGTGAGAACCCTTTTTGTATTGAAATGTTCAAGTACCAGACCACGGAACATCATGAAATTTGATATGGGGAAGGGCATATGTGCAAAAGGTAGCCATTTACCTTTTGATAATCATTTGAGAAATATTTTGAGAAACAAATAGTTCCAGACTTATGTCTGAAAAATTTTTTCCGCATTTGAATGAGTAATCATTGACCCACTGATTATTTTACCAATTAACGGAAATGGATATATCTGTTCATTCGTATATTCCTAAATTATATATTTCAATATATTCATCTTGTTCTCCTTACAGAATGGATTATCAACGTCCTCAGCTGTTAATAATTTCCATTTCACTGCTGTATTGGTTTCGAAGTACGGCAGATTGTTGGAAATTTGATGGCGGTGGTCCTGGGTCTCTCGGTCCTGGTTATCGTGTTCCTCGCAGTGCTTCCAACCTGTTAGCAGCACGAGGGCCACCGCCAGTGATACCAAATGCTGGTGGAGGTGGTGGTGGCGGCGGCGGTAGCTTTGCCAACCTCTTCAATTCACAGCCTCAAGATATACTCTACTCCTGCCCACTAAATAGCATGTGTCAATGTGCCGGATTACCGAATGAGACAACGACACTTATCGAAATTAATTGCAACGAGGTGGAGCTGTATAAATTTCCAGGTAAGAGAAAAATTCGAAACGGTAAAACAAAAAAGGACTTGCAGTAAAAATAAAGAAAGAAAAAAATAATATTAAGTCCTGTTCACAATTCCTTGTGTTCGGCACAAAAAAACTCCTTTGTCATTCTTAATTAAAGGACCAACATGACATTAAAAACCCAGCTATGTGAAAATTATTAATTGCCTTATGTGAAGGCACGCATTCGACACGTAGCAATGTGTGTTCGGTCTTAACCACGATGGCATTTCCCGTCGTGATACTATTCTGTGTGCGCAAACAACCTAAGAGATTGTGTTGTCGTGTGTTGTACCCACACAAACACTTAATGTTAAAGCGAGGGAACGTGGTTTGTAACGGGGCGTATGTGTGTCGCCTGCTCCCTGTTGGTTAACTGTTTTAAAGGCTTTTGATTTTTTGTGGTCACTTTTAAGCGGTCATGGCAGAGATGTTAATTTACAGGATGCCTTTTTAAAAAAGGGGACAAGAAGATGACAACGAGTACACATGTACCAGAGTGCAAGGAGGGTCTGATAATGGCATTTGAATGTTAAAGGTTTTTGAACGTATGTTCGTTCGTCGTTCGATTGCTCTTGTTCGATTGGTTGTAAGAGTGTTTGAGAGTGAGTTACATGTATGGGGCAGCAAAAGGGTAGCGATGAAACCGTTAAGGTAGCGGTTAAGCATATTGTGTAGATAGTGTCCGTGTTGTTTTTGTCATTATTGTTGGGTCATCAGACCTTATTCAATGTTTACCATCACCAGCAACAACAACTAAAACATCACAGCATCTACATAAAAGACAACAACACCATCGAGAGGAGGTACATCAGAGGGTTGATGCCGATGATGATGCTGCTGCAGCAGCAAAGTGGTTTTTATGGTTGATTGCACTGATTGCGGTGGCAGTGCAATTTGCCCTTTTAGTCTCTGGGTAACTGACAACAGAAGCCGACAAGCAAGCACACACATACGCACAGGGGCCCAAACAAACATAAACTAATATGCTGAAGAGCTTTATGAAAGTATCGTTACAACGTTTACATATTACTTTTTCGGTTCATTTCATATGCTCACTCGTATGCACATATTGACGTGTCAATATGTAAAGGTTACATGTCAGTTGCCCCACAACTATCGTACTACTACGACACTTTCATCGAACACTGCTCACACAGAAAATCATAGGCAGAAATCTAACATAAAGTGGGTTAATTGTGGATTTATGAAATAATTAAATAACATTAAAGATTCGTGAATTTAAAATGAAAGCTTTTTTTTGAACACTAACAGATCTCTTAAAATTGAAATGGTCAAAATGGGGAATAATGTATACAGTAATGTGGAAATTAATGTATGTAGATGGCAGACAGGATGGTATGAAATTGATCAAAATCTTTTCGCAATATATGCCCTCCTAAAGTGGATTCAAATTTAGTCTCTATTCATATAGAAAACTAATTGAAAATGTATGGGCTATAATGAAAGGGCAGTTAATAAATTAACCCTAAATAAATTCGATAAATAAAAGAATAAATGCAGTAATTAATGGAAAGGCAGTAATGTCGTATGAAAAAAAAACATAAAAACTATTCTTTAAGTAACTGATTTTCTTATTTTTATTAACAATATTTTTCAAATAAGTAATTTTATACATTTTTCAACTTAAGGGAACCCCACCCATTCTTGATTTTAATTTTTGAAGATTTTCAATGGGCTGGTAAATCAATACCAATGCTTGTTAAGTTTTGTAACTTTGCACATATATAATTGAAGATTTAAAAGAGAAGAAAAATAATTTACAAAATTTTTTTGTTATTGTTTTGTTGTTGTTTTTTTTTGTAATTAAAGAAAAGTCCTTATTTTTATGAACTAGGATTATAGACTTCTCTCTAAAATTAACAAAATGGTGGACCTTTGAAAAAATATTTTTGGAAAATCGCCGATTTTTTACCAAAAACCAAGTTAAAAAATAAGGTTTGTGTTTATCCTATTCATCTATTCACTCCCAGAGAAACGTTGCAAAATTTGGAACCGATTGGATTATTAGTTTTTGAGTTATCGTGCCCGCCATTCGCAAAGAAATGTTTAAAGAAAAACTCGTTTAAAGTTTGAGAAGCCCTTTAGCCGTCACTTGATGCTGACACAATAAATCGGATATATCTTCAAGAGTGCTTGAGATTTTCACTTGAAATTTTGTACGGACATTCTTTAATTAGAGTAGATTCGAATTATACCAACAAAAATTTTGACTAATGCGTCCCCTCTTCATAAAATTGTAATTTTATCCTATTTGGGCCATATTTGTAGGAGTTTGATTTAGCATGTCATATGATCCTTTATTGTCAGGGTAGTACATTTATAATTAGGTTTGTGTAAAACCATACTCTTTAATTTAAACTAAAGTTTATAAAATATTGCCCGTTTTGCGGGAGAGGTACCAGAATGAGAGGACTGACGGGACCCACCATCGTCAGGTTCGGCTCAAATCGCGTAGTCCGTTCGCATGATATTATTAAAATAATTTTCCAGCAAATTGTTGGATGAAATATTACGATGTTTGGTGGAAATAGGTACTCCATTCGAAAGTTGTCGTGCGCACCAGTCGGACGGACATTTTTAAATCGACTTCAAATTGTCTGAAACGGATTTAGTCCAAATAAGCATGGGTTCTAAAACCAATATTTCGATGAGGCACATTTTTGCCTCATCATTAACTATAAGGCTGAGGGTATAATTAAAGGCTAATATGTATTTTGAGTAAAATATACGACTACCCTTCTACTTCTTCAACGCTGTAATGTGAAATGTCTCGCAACGAAACTTTTCCCCCACAAAATTTTATTAATTTACTTTAAGAACAATTATTTGATACCCGACGAAAAAAGCAAAGAAAACATTTTATTCAATGTTCGCTCTTACTTAACTAATTGGCTAATGTTTTATTTTCAATTAAAGAAAAAAAGAAAGAAAACCCAACACAAATCAGACGACAATGAAAAGACGCTTCAATTTTACTTTTACATTTTCCCCGAAAATCATTGTTAAAATTACTGCACTTGCCCACACCACACCACACAACTCCCCTCACATAGCTCGCTCTGCTGCTACTCAGTTATTCCTTAAGGAACCGAAAGATTTTTTTCTTTTGTGGCCATAGACAAAAAAGGACACTTCCGTATGTAAAGATTCATTAAAATATACACCAGGACTCTGATTGAAGTTGGAAATTAAAGAAATTAAGAGAGAGAAAAAAACGCACACAGTAAATGAAAGTCAGGGAAATTGTATTCGGTTTGTTCTGTAGAAAAGGAAAAAAGTCAAGATTTCCTCCGGACTTCAAGTGAGTGTGTGTGTATTCGAGTAACAGACTGAAATAAAGCAATTAAAAGAAACACCGAAATTAAGGCATTCTCAACTCCATAAGGTGGTCAAAGTTTGATGCAAGGTGCCCTTATATATATATATGCCCAACCTTAGTAAGTCAGCTCGGCAAATGAACGGCTGATGTCAGTCAGCTAATGAAGGAACCATGACAAACTTTGAGAACAAGAAATAAAAAAAAAGTAACGAACAACAGACCGTAACGTTGAATAACTCATTCCCAAGTCTGTCTTGGGAATGAATTTTCTGCATTTCGTTTCGTTCTTTTTTTCCATTTTCTTGTTCTTTTTCTTCAAAGTATTTGGGTTGAAGAAAATTAAATGAATTTTTAATTTTCAAATGAATTTAATTAATTCTTTCTTGTTTCACTTCTCGGCGATGCATAAGAAACAAAGAACAAAAAACAAACGAAAAAACAATCAGCCAGCCTGTGAGAATATGGTTAATTTAATGGAGAATTAAAATCCAGAACAAAAAGAGGCTGATAAGAAGCAGCGAAGTAGACGACTGTTTATGATCTAACAAAAAAAAAAAAATGAGCTGAAATTGAACGAAAAATCTCAAAACAAAAGGAGGCAAATGAAAAAGGTATAAAATTAGCATTAATCTAATGGCAGGCCAACTATGGAATTAAGACAAAAAGAAGATGAACAAAGTTGTTTGTGTGAATATATATTTGTATATAGGTACAACAAAAAATTCATCAAGCATTCGCATTTAAATTATGTTATTAATAATTAAACAAGTTATAAGGAATTATGTCTCTCCTATCCCATTGAGCGTTTGAATCATAATGATAAATGTTAATTATTAATAAATAATGAAGGTGTTATTTTTTGTCAGCACAAGTGAGGTGATATTTGTGTGGGTGGTAATTACCATCAGCATATGTTTTATAATTATACAGCTGTCGGGGTTGAAATGCGATTTGATTCTAGATTCAATGGAAAAATATTTCAATGTTATTCGGTATTATGGTGATTTTTGACACTTTTTCCAAACGAATTGACTGCAACTTGCTACATTTGGATCTCGTCGAATCTTCCTATCGAAAATTATCAATATTTGTCTATTTTTTTAGGGTAGCTCCCATAGACACGAATCGGATATAATTTGATACTTTGGATGCACTCCCTTATAACGCTACACCCCAAAGATCGGTATTTTGGGGTGTTTGGGCTCGTGTTTCAACCAATATGGGAGCAATTTAATATTTTTTATTCACATTGAGTAGAAAATGTCCTTACAGAAATATATCAACATTGGCCCATGTTACCGGATAGGACTCATAAAATGGTAACCTCGATTATTCGGTATTTTTGGGAGTTGCGGACACGATTTTTAACTGAATTGACTCTAATTTGATTCTTCAGGTTTTTGTGGGTTGTCAAATCTTCCTACTAAACATGATCAATATTGGTTCACTTTTTAGGAAATCTCTCATTTAAGGCATAATTCCAACTTTCGGTATTATGAGGAGCTCGAGCATGTAGCTCGAACCAAATTATCTGTAATTTTATATGTTGAAGTGTCATTGAGTACAAAATCTCCCTACCGAAAATGATCAATATTGGACACAGTGACCGGGTAGCCCCCATATGATTTGGTATTTTGAAGGG